ATATGTGTTCCATCAATTGCCCCAATACAATCCTGCAACATTGTAAGTTAAAAATTAATCACTTCATATTTTGTTATATTTGACTTATGTAAGATGTAACGTGTGGATGTCTACCTCTATGTGTGTATAACACAATTTACCTTAAAATGTGGCATGTATCTGCTATCATTTTTTATCTGTTCTGCAGTATCTTTAAATTGTCGATCAGATGGTTGAATCACATCAGAAGCCATGCCAATAATGGTTTCCAATACCATATTAAAGTATCTGCTAATTGTTTCTCCAGATCTTTGAAAACGTTCTTGAATTTCTCTATTTGACTCTCCATGCCCCAAAATATATACAAACATCGCAAGTGCTTCGATTGTTGACATATTAATTGAACCACTAAGTTCATACTTACTTTCTAAAGTATGAAGTAAACTAAGAAATATATCCTTTTTCATTCTAAACGCATTATAAAATCTCATGTCATGACCATCTAAAAGCTCTTTAACCCATGACTCACCACGTTGTCTTGAAGTGAAGCAAGGTGTTTTGAGAATATATTTGCGATAATACTCTTCAACATAATTCATCAATATGGTTCCTGAATGTGTCCACTTCAAATCTTCATTCAAAATGCTGGCTCGTAATTCGCGTTCTTCTATTTCATTTGAAACTCTAGATTTGGACCAAACATTGTGCATGTCAAAAATTAAATTTACAGGGGTGAAAAAAAATTGGAGTTTGTTTAAACAAAGGAGAGGTGAAAAAATTGTTAAATTTGCAGAATTAATATGCCAATAGTCTAATATACTCTACAATTTCTCACGCCTCTCCCAGTCTCTCTTGGTGCCAATGATTATACCATTTTTCAAACTTTTCTCCTTTCTCTCCCTTTCCTCTAACACTTTAACTCCCTCTTTCATTACCCATTTACATTATAAACAGCAAATTTAAAAAAAAAAACAGATTCTATTATACTAAAAAAACAGATTCTGAATCTTAAACAGCAACCCCGAATACATCACTCCACCAAGAAACACAACAGAGTCCAAAACTAAAATTGAATCTTTCAAGGCCAAGAAACACAACAGAGTCCCAATAAACATACAAATTTTAAAAAAACAGATTCTATTATATTACTATACCACTCAAATCATCTAAAATATTTTTTAAAATAATGAATTACAAACATGAGTAAAGAATTCTATGTGCTACAAAAATCATATTAGTAAAAAAAACTGAAATACTTACTTGCAAAGAATCTGAGGCCTCCATCGAGCTGCTCAAGAACCCTCTTTTTGTAATCCCCAAATCGTGACTTTATTCGGGAAGCATATGAGATTAGGCAGTAAGATTTCCCTCTAAAATTTTCATGGGTAAAAGAGTAAAATTGATCTCAATCGCTAAATTAGGGATAAGAACGCTGGAGGGTGAGAGCTTTCTGCGTTTAGCCGCGCGGAAGAGTCGGGAGGAGGAGAGAGACGAAGAACGCTGGAGTAAAATTAGGTCAAACAAACGCAAAAAATTCTAAACGCAGCGTTTGGGCTTTAAAACGCCAATACCAAACAGGCCCTTCTTCGGAATCTGGAACAATCAGATCTCTGTCACCATCCTCTAGATGATTTTCGCAGGTAGGAAATTCACCCTCCCCGGCGAAGGGCGACTCATCTGCTTTGAAGACAGTGGTTGCACCATCCATGCAGAGGCTTTTCTTCTCAAATTGTGTTTTGGGAATGATGAAGGCAGATTCCTAATCGGAAGACATGTCAAGTCCACTCCTCATATCAAAATCTAAGGTTTCTGAGAAGAAAAGATATGTGAGGAAGATTGAGAAGGTGATTAGATCAGTGCTGTAGAGGAGGAAGGGTGAGAAGGTGAAAAATCGACGATGAGACGAAGATGAGTGAGAAGCAATCGGCGATGGAAATGAACAGGAGTGAGAAGCAATCGGTGGAGGCGATGAAAAAGAGAGATGAGATGAGAGAAGATGAAAAGGATTAATTTTGGGTGGATGGAACGGGTGGGTGAGTGGGTGGGGAATTGATTGTAGTGGATGGAGTGAGAAAGGGTAAAGATGGAAAGTTGTAAATTAAATATTGCCAAATTAGAAAAGTGGACAAATATGAAGGGACAACCAAAAATGGAATACTGGACAAATACAGAGGGACGGAGGGAGTATTTTACTTTTGGCTAAAAAATGCTTTGGTACACCAAGGTGTACCCAAGATCCCCAATTTGCACTCTAAACCTATGTTCACCACAATTTTTTTTTGTTTGAATAAAAATATTTTTGTGTTTAAAATTTGTATGGTTAGATAAAAGTTGGGATACAACCGGGTGTACAACCCGGTGTACCCCACCCCTATCATTGTTTGCTTCTTTTTCATTCTCTTCTCTTTTTAATGAGTAAATTTTCAAAATAATCCTTTGTAATAATTAAGGTGTTTTCCCAAATCAGTCCTCAATAAGTTTTAATTACCTACGTGGTCATCTATAATTGAGATTTATTTTCAAGATGGTCCTTCATAAATAACATTACTCAAATGAGGATTAGTTGATGGTATTTTGGTATTTTTTTATCCGCTAAATTTAGAATTAATTCTTAAAATGATCATTTATAAAGAAATGCTTTCCCAAAATGGTTTTTTCCAAATTAAAGATGTGTATTTGATTTGAAATTTAAAAGAATTTTTTATAAGTTTTAAATAATTCATGAATTATTTATAGTCAATGTGTTTTTCAATTTTACACTTAGTTGTACAGAAATAATTGTTTCGAGAATATATTTTGCCATGAAATTGAATTACAAAGTACCTATTTTGAACCCAAAGCTTTGAAAGCCAGAATTCTTCTATTATTGTTGATTGGAGAAGGAATGAGATGGAGTTAATTCGGGAAGAAAGAGTCCAAGATTTCTCGAGTCTAAATAAGACATGAATTGATCGCATAAAATAAGCTAGTGTGCAAGGAAGAATTGATTTCTCCGTCTAGGTGGCAATGCTAACATGCCACATATTACACATGTCAAATTCTTAAAGTTAAAAATCTCAAAGTTATACGAAGTACGATAATTGATAAAATTTGCCTTCGAATTTCATAATTATATATATGATTCAAGTGGTGCAAGTGTGACAATCTATGACTGATATAAGTTGATAAAAACTTATCCTCAATAAATTCAGATCAACCCGTTCGACCTACCCGCAAAAAAACATGTGAATTGGAAAAGGTGCACAGTTCACAGCGTATGTTAACCATATGTGAACGGGTTGTTAAAGAACATGGATACATTATACATTCATAACACCAGGGTGGTTCCCTTGATTTATTTTTGTTGAAAAGGGACAACCACCTATTGGGACTTTCAGACAAATGGTTAAGCAAATGAGAACACATTCATTTCTTGCATGAACATAGACCGATACGTAACTAAAAGTTTGAAACCACAGGGGAAGGACCAAGCTCTGCCATCGTTCGAGATCAAAGATGACATTTCATGTACCTCAGGGAAGAAAAAGAAAGAAAGATGTATCACAGATTACTTAGCCACACTGCTCTTTCTCTTCCATCTTCTTCTTCATCTTGTACTGCAATGTGGCTGGGGCACAATCTAGTGGTGTCTCACCTGAAAAACAATCAAAAGTGCAATTTTTAACATTATGGAAGTCATTACTTACCAAGAAACTGCATATTTTGTGTTGTCTGCTTGGCTGGTCTGAGCCATCTTGGACTGCACAAGTCTAAAAATAGGGCAGCTCACAATAATTTTGGCTCGGAAGACATTACAGATGGTTGGAACTGATCCAATGTGATCCTTGGCCAAGCAAATGATCAAAATTCAAACAGCTTGAGTTTTATGTAGATGTTGTGCTTACTTACCTTGTGAATTTTTGTAATGCAAACTTGCTCCGCTTTCCATGAGGGCAAAAGCTATATCGGTTCTATTAAAAACAGCTGCCTGCATAGTACACCCTTTACTATTGTCGTTTCTAAATCTTTTTGACAAATATTTTTTGATGTTCTTACAGATAACAAAGAGACATGGAGAGGAAGAGTGTACCAGATGTAACAAAGATGACCCTTGCTTGTCATGATAATTCGCATCCACTCCCTACAAGGTTGAAATGGGCTTTAAATAACAATAATTATGATTTTCATAATAATTATGATTTTAATGGTAATAATAACTTATTTGACTTAAGAATGATGATGATGATGATGATGATGATGATAATAATTTCTGTAAGAAAGAGAGCGGAAGAATACCTGACTTAAAAGTCTCTTAGCAGCAGCTGTGTCACCATTTTTTATCGCCTCCCTCATGCCCTAAACAATATTTTTTGTCTCAAAATTCGGGTATGTAACAATTGGGTGTAGGATGCTTAAGTTAACATGCTATGAAATCAAGGGATAGCGCTTTACCTCCCCACTAACTTCATAATCCCCAAGAATTTGTCCCGGACCAGCAGAACTTGTTACTTGACCAAGACCGAATAATCTGGTTTGATTAAGAGTAACAAAGGATAAAGCTTGTTGCCAGATACGATAAAGCTTATTGTGTGTAGTATACAAATCAAGAATTCATGCAAGCTGAAATGCTCCATTATCCAATTACGTAATTATCTTTTCCTGGGTGACACCACCTAGTGAGAAAGGCTTGATTGGTGTAGGTAATTATATTTCCCAATTAATGAAGAAGAAAACAATGCCAGAACTTTTAATAAAAGAGTATTTAATTATCTGCAGTTTAAACAACTTACTAAAAGAACAAAGGAAGAATACAGCAGTCTCCATGTATAGCAATGAGTAAAATCAGTATAAACCCCTTCATTGAATGAAGAAAGAAGGAATGCAGGCATTACTGCTGTCGTTTACTTAAAAAATAGATATTGTGGTTATATATACAATGATAAAGATGTGGAATATATATTGGCAGACAAATGCATTGACCTAGTGAATCATGTAAACATATCACCTACCCCTGCTTATTGTTTGATGACGATTCTCTGGTCTTTGGCAATGTGTTCACCTTTTTTGGTTTTGGATTTGTCTGAACTGTAACCACAGAAGTAGCTGTACCCTGCTGGAATGAAAATAAAACTGTAAGGTTATAAGATATGTTCAAATGCACTTAATCAACAAAAAAAATCCTTTCCTGCAAGCTAACTGAACCAGTTTCCACTTGCGCTTCACAAATGCATAAAGGCATTCCGCATTTGCACACTGATTTGCTTGGCATGGAAAATTGCTTTTCGCACTGAGCATTTTCAGCATCTGAAACTTGACCAACATTTAATCTTGAAACTGAATCCACAATATTACTGACTTCATCTGATGAAGATGGTGCTTCGGTCCCAACGAATCTAATCAGAATGAGATTTACACATGAGTAGAGTGTGCAGGTGTTAGATGTTTTGGACAAACAGGTGAGCATGAACAAGTATTTTTCAAGCCTCAACACGAATAATTAAATATCAAATTGGAACTTATAAATAATCCTACCTCAGACTCCTTTTAATCTTCCTACTTATGGTTTTTGTTCATTGTAAACTAGCCTTTCTAAACTAATCTTTAGAACACAATTCCATACAAAGTCAAACAAGGAAGATTAAATGGTGAAAAAGAGAGTACAAACACAAACCCCAAGAAAAAGAAACAGAAAATTATAAAAGCTGAAGGTGTCTGCTTATTAAGATGTCACGCATGACAATTGACAAACAATTTAGCTAGTCTCATACTTAAAATTAGTGCATCAAAAGACTCTAGTTCAATTTCATGTTAGCCTTGAGAAGAAAACTTTCCATCTCTACTTTTACTATCCATTTAAAGAAAAAGAGTTCATGGTTTCAAAATACAACTTCCATCCCATAAAAAGTATCCTTACAACAAACAATGTTTTAGTTTATGTAAGGAACAACTATTAGAAATCATCATATAATTAAGATGTGTCTATATTTTTAGATTTCACTTGTTGGCCTAAACACATTTAGCACACTCACTTCTTTTATAATAAAAAGAGTAAATATCATGAAAGATAGATTCTTTTATTAAGATTGGAGTCTTTTTGGGACAAAGATAACTTTAGAAACAAGACTCTTTTTAAGGGAAGGAGGGAGTAATAACTAATACTCCCTACAACCCCAAATAATATGATATTTGACTGCAATTATTTTTAATTTGGCTTATTTGAGTATTGGTGTAAAATTTAAGATTAAAATTACATATTTCAAAACTACATAAAAATGTCTTTGAAACAAGAGGTGACATGGTTATGTTATTTTAACTAATTGCATATTAAACCTAGATACGTATATCCGTTGTGCATGAGATGCTCTCTATGGCTACCATTGCAGTGTTGCATCACAAGTTTGAGATACAGCCAAGCACTCTGAATCTGCTTAGCCTTTTTTCTGCCTTGATAGCATGCTTGTTTCTAATCAATGAACTAATGAATTCATTGTCATCTACTACTATCAAATATTTTCCTATTAGCAAAATGTAAGCACATAAAAGAATGCATGGCGCATAAATGAGTGATCAGAGGATTATCAATAATTAACTCACAAAACACTAGTCTCTTTGCTACTGCGGAGCAGACTGCAATTTACAAAAGACAGATGTGGAATTATACCTAGGGGCATCATTAAAACATTCAGCACAAACTCTGGTCGGTGTATGAATACCAAAATGTGGTAAGGCCTGAAAATATTGAGAATAAAAAATAAAAAGAAAAACAGAAGTATATATAAATTTTGTACCAGCACAAATCAGAACATTCATAGCTGTAAATTAGATACCATCTGGCTTGCGGAGTGTTCAGCACAAAAAGTCCTCCCACAACATCTGCAATGATGCTAAATAACAAAAACCCAAATAAAGAAAGGCATACTCAGGGAATTGCATAAAACTGTGCACTACCATTAAGTAAAAAGGGAAGCACCTTGATTAAAACTAGAAATAAAATGTTCAAACATTATAATTTGAATTAGAGCAAGAAATGAAAAAAAGCATGGACAACGATAGGTATACTGGTAAAGCCAACATAATATGAGTACTATAAAACAGGCTCAATATATTGATTATAAGTCTGACATAGTGATATAGTCAGTATGGTAGCAAGTAGGGACATGCATAGCTAACCAGCTTCAACAGATACGCGAGGCCCGTCTATTTTATGATTTGCATCTCACAGGTACAACGAAGCAGACCTGCAGATGCTCCGGTGTGACAGCCCATACTAGTCAGGATATTCCAAAAGACATCCATGAGAATTGGCATTAAGCTTCGTACATGTCGCGAGACATCTTTACAAAAGCCTCACAACCCAATTCTTCAGGCAGGACAACTTGGGGCATTAGCCCTTCACACAGTGTCCTCTCAACCGAACAAAGAAATTGGTTAAGGGTATAAGTTGTAGTTAGAAGTGTGTGATCACTCGTAGAGTTGTATGACTCATCATACATTGAACTAAGCCAACAAAGTTCAATTCCATGTTATACCTACTAAGGCGTACCGGGAGGAGCGAATAGGGATAGGATCCCAAGCTTAATATAATAGTCATCAAAGTCATGGCTAAGTATTCACTTTCTCGATCGCATCAAAGAATTTAATACTTTTTGCTAACTGCTTTCATACTTTATCCTCAAATTCTTTTGAACATTTGTTGGGACATAAATCTGAGTAGGACAAATGTTCCAAAAACTAGTAACTATAAATGCACCTGCTCCGTGAATTGAGGAGACCAAGCATTCAATTAGCAATCAATACACTCAATACTCATTAAGGAGCAGGTGGAAATACTTCCTCATCAAACAAGTACACACCCAATGCAAGTCCAGTTGCATATGGTGTGTCACACTTTGACTTTGGATTTAGTGCTCTAACTCCTCTAAGAAATGATTAGAGGGGAAAAGCCCCCCATTTAAAGAACAAAAAATTGATAGCAGAAAAGAAAAACAGATGATCCAGTTTGGAAGGAGAAGAGACAACTCTACTCCAGATCAGATGATCATAATAAGAAACACGTTCGAAAGGGGGGAATCGGGGAAAGAAGAGAATCGTAGGGCACCCGTCTCCGGAAGGCGCTGAAGCTGCATTTGCAGACGTCGCAGCGGGATGCTTCCTGGAAAGGCGGGGGTTCCGACGACATTTTCCGACGTGAGATAGCCTCCCTTCCAGTCTTCCACCCACTATATCCCGTAATCCACCTTTTCTGAAGTTCGCTTTTCCGCCTTACCGTAGGCTACTTTTTTCCAAGGATGTAAGAGTATGTAAATTGAAAAAACATACTCCCTCCCTCCTTGAGTGTTTGTCCACTTTCACTTTTGCACACCATCCAATGCACTTCTTTAATCTATTTTATCTTGTAATTTGTATATTAAAAAATTATAAAAATTATATATTAATAATCTATATGTTAAGACGAATCAAACAAGATCACACATGACTATTTTTAGGCTTACACATTGAGAGAATTTGATAAGCTATACCGGCATTCGGTTCAATTTATTTTTTCTGCTTATAATATAATATTAATATAATCAGATCAGATTAGATAAAAAATAGTTTTTATTTTAATTGTAATCAGATCAAATTAGATTAGATCTGCAAAAAATTAGATCAGATCAAATCAAATCAATCGAAAGGAACGCAGCCTTAGTATGGAAGGTGTGTGCTGGGTTGTAAAAGTGTAAAACAAACGAATACTCCGTAGTTTTGATTCGATTCGTGATTCGTATTCAAAATCAATGATTCATATTCAAAAAAATATGAATTAGAATATAAATATTTATTAAAATTCGAAAGAAAACAAATACATATATGAACGTATATAAATTCGATTCGATATGTTAATGAATATATTCAAATTTAAATATAAAAATTTATACCTAATATATTTGCTTCACATAAAATACAAAGCATAATACATAGAGCACTCCGTAAGAGAAAGATTTACCCACACACAGCCTTCCCATATCCTACTTTTGTGGGATCTAACTAGGTTGTTGTCGTTGACATGTCATTTGTAGTATAAAATTGTTTCATAACTTATAGGGTATTAATTTATGGAGCTATAAAATGTAAAAAAAATCATTGTTTGTATTTTATAAAAAAATACGAATACGAATAGAATATTTGAATTTAATATCAAATCGAATACGAATAGTAATAATTATTCGACAGAAAAAGGAATATGAATATGAATAATGGTATCATTTTTGAAATAAAAAAAAGCGTTGACTAGATGCCATAGAAATACAAAGTACAAAATTATAAATTGTGGTACATTTCTAAAAATCACACTTAGGGCCTGTTCTTTAGGACTGGAAAAAAAGTGTTAGATGTTTGAAGAAACTAGAAAAAACTGGAAGGAACTGGAAGAAACTGGAAGGAACTGGAAGAACTGAAAGAAACTGAAAGAAACTGGAAAAAACTGGAAAAAACTGGAAGAAACTGGAAGGAACTGGAAAAAACTTCAAAAAATTAGAAAACCTAAGAAAACTATAGAAACATTTATTTTAAATTCTTGTTGTTATAAATTATTATTATTATTATTATATTATTATTTTTATTATTATTATCATCATCATCACGTTATCTTAATGAATGCATTTAAGATACAAAAAAAGTATTGTTATTTTTTAAATATAAAAAACTACTTTTGCAAAAAAATAATTATAATATAAAGTTAGCATAAATATAAAATATATTAAATTTTAAAAAGTCTTTGTGGTTATATTGCACCTCAACTTATTTATGCAGTATTTATTATAAATAATATATTTGTAATTATAATTTATATATTACAAGATTTTGTTTTAAATATCAGACATGTCACATAATGTAATCAAACCTATTATTTCTTTCATGATTGACATTTTATTTTCATTAAAATCCTATTTTTGGAATAAAGACATAGAACTTTTTTTGTTTTTACATTTTTTTATGTTTTACTCCTATTTTAGTCTTTTTCTCTAAACTATTTTGACTTAATTCTTTTTATAAAAATTAGAAAAATGAGCAAATTTTAAGTAATAAAGGAAAAGCTGAGAGATCTTATATAAAGTTAGATTAATAAAACATTCAATATAATTATTTTATCCATAATTTTTTTAATATAATTTAACATATTGATGTTTTCCTGTGTTATCATGTAGACTAACATACAAAAAATTGTCTTATTCATATTAAAAAGTTGAAGAAAAAAATAATGAATGTGAATCGTAAAAATAGTGAGATGAAAAAAAATTATAAACTATAGTTATGAACATAACAGTTGTAATAATAATAATAATATTAATATTAATAATAATAATAATAATAATAATAATAATAATAAACTGGAAGAAACTGGAAGGAACTCGAAGAAACTAGAAGAACTGGAAGAAACTGGAAGAAACTGGAAAAAAGTGGAAGAAACTGGAAGTTAATAGTTCAAGCTCTAAAGAACAGGCTCTTAGAATTTTATTATTTCACTAAGTACCACCACGACGTCTTCGTGGTTGCATATCCATGTTATTAGTGAGACGAGTGCTCACTGAAGGACCCACATGAGATCTTTGGCACATATTTGGTCGCACTAATTCCTAATCAAGATTCGGCCATTCCATTTGATTTGGCATTGGCATTACACTTTCGGCATATGCATTCAGGTAGCTCTGAAGTGAGAACACTGATGGAATGGGATTATCAACTGTGATGCTGTAGTAATGACACATGGAATAAATATGGATACATGGCATGTGCAATGTGGCCCATTTCCCCCAACTACACATTTTTTGGCGCAGTTGAATGACAATCTCCTCTACTCGACCGGCAGCTCCAGTGTTCCCAAGAACATTGACCCGATGAATACCCTATTGCGGATGATGAGGGATAACAAGGCAAAGCAAACGATTGTCTTCCATACGTCTGACCTCGTTCCAAATATATTTTGGAAACTTATACCCTGCTTGTAGCCATGCAAATCCAGCCGTTCTCCTTTCCGCAAATAATTTGACTAATCGCTCGTAGGATGTCTTCACGATAGCATATATGGGAAGAGACCAGCAACCCTTTAGCACGTGATTGAAGCTTTCGGAAAGATTAGTGGTCAAGATTCCATACCGAGCCCTACCATCGCAACATAGTGCCCATTTGTTTAATGGTAAAGCCATCAACCAGTCATGTGCCTCTGCCTGTTGTGACTGTATATATTTGTTGCATAGTTTGATGAAATTCATACACGTCAGGGGTACTTGCAGCATGATATATCAATGACTTCAGCTTCTTGCTGTTGAGCTTCTTTTGGAAATTACTATGCAGGTGTCGGAGGCAATATCTCCAGGTGACACGATGTTTCCTTATCAGGGGGACTCTGTTGAAAGCTACATCAATTCCCCCATGCCTGTCTGAAATGAAGCACACCGGCATATTAACGGGAACTACATGATGCATTAAATGCATCATGAACTAGATTCAACTTTCCCCGTCTTCTTTGTCAACAAGGGAATAAGCTAACGGGAAAATCTTGTAATTTGATGTCATTGCGACTGCTAGTAACACGACCCCCTTATATTTTCCGTGTCGACGTCCTGCGTGTACATAGACACGCATCCAGATACTTCAGACTCATCTGAAGAACTCTCATCACCAGAAGTCCTAACGTAAGTCGGATCATCGCGGTCACTTTCGTCATCACGTTCATGTGCCACGTTAGACGGTCCCGCCTCATCCCACGAAAATTGTTGTGCACCCCATTGCTGATGTGTGTGTTCTTGGAGGTGTGGTTGTTGTTTCTCCACCTGAACATCTTCCTCCAATCGCTCTGCCTCTAGGTACACCTCAACTTCATCGTATTGCTTGGTGGCCTTTTCAACAAAACACCCCCATGTTCTTTCTTCAGAAATTCGAAAGGGCGGGAAGCAGCATACACTCAATCTTTGTATTTGGGATATTTCCCCCAAATTTTCTTGATGGAATTAAGATCATCTTCACCGATGGCAGCGAGAGTTCTTTTTGAAGGCATCCTCGAATGAGACTTGAAGATCAAGGACAAATGCTCTGTTTGCATGCAATGAGTACTCCACCTCATTGTGCTCGATTTTGAACTCTCCGTTCCAATGGGCTAGAAGGATTAAACTCCCATCTGAGGCCTTTTTTTTCAAATGTAAGAAAAAGTGCTATGAGTAATACGTGAGAATATATTTCAGTGAGATATTGAAGAATTTTATGTGGTGAGACAAAGAGAGATATGCCCTAAATTAATAGTATTGTGAGATGAGGTAGCTAAGAGGGAATGGTTGTAGGATTTTTTTAGTGTTGGGTGAGAATTGAGTGGTTGTATGGTTTATTTTCAGTCTTAGGTGGGATTTGATGGTTGAGTTATTTTTTTATTGTTAAGTAAGGTTTGAGGGTGCATGATTTTTTTTACTTTTAAGTGAGATTTGAATGGTTGTAGGTTTTTTTAGTGTTAGGTGAGAATTGAGTGGTTGTAGATTTTTTTTACTTTTAAGTGAGATTTGAATAGTTGTAGGTTTTTTTAAGTGTTAAGTGGGAATTGAGTGGTTGTAAATTTTTTTTCAGTATTAGCTGGGATTTAATGGTTGAGTTATTTTTTTATTATTAGATACAGTATAGGGTAAATGGTGCTTGCATGCATTTTCTAACCACAAAATGGTAATGGAATTATGTGTTTGATAATAAGAAATCACCTTACATAGCACCCTAACTCACCCTAAATTACGCATCTAGCACTACTCATTGTTTTTAACAAATTTAGCACTTTTTTAGGGTCAATCCTTTCCTATCATGCCCTTTAACCTTTTTTCTTTTTCTCATCAAAAATTACGGCACTCCCTAGGCCGCACGTACTCTTCTTGCGCTCGGCCACACGTTCTCCTTCAGTCGCCCGCCATCATGCGTCCTCAGGCCTTCTCCCACGATCTGGGCCGATCAGCAACGGCAATCATCAGGTTATCTCCGCCTTCTTCATCGATGTGGCTAATCATTTTCTCTTCTCCTTCAATGTTTAATTTTCATTCCTTCATCCCTTTTCCATGTATTTTTAGTTTTAATTATTGTGTTTTATTCGTACTGAAGATTAGGTGGTGTGAAATCAATTTTGAAATACCTAGTATTTGTTCCTTTTGAAAAATTAGGTCTTTTGAAAGGCATTGTGATTTTGGCAGTGTTAAGATTATGTGCTATGGTGTGGGCAGTGAAGATTAAATGCCTAAATGTTGTCCTGCATTTTTAGTTTTATTTATTTCCTTAATCCTAAATATCTGAATTTGGTTCTTATCCTTAAAAAAATTTTGCATGTCAAAAAATTAAAAAATAAACTTACCTAAAATAATCCCACCTTTCATTTATTTTCTAAAAATATGTATTTTCAAAAAATCCTATTTAGTGGCCGTTAGTTTTTTAACGGCGGCCCAAAACTTGCACACATGCAGAAAGGTGAGATTAATTTGTATTTGTTTAATATTCTGAAGTTTGCAATGTGACTANATATATATATACGATGTGTTTTTGTATTCACCACCTCCATTAAATCCAGCATTTTCATCGCATATTAGGTTATACATCTATTCTTTGAGTTCATTCCTTTATTTAATTTAATTGAATATTTTCTCTTTTATTATTTAAAAGGAGCATCACAGATGGGTCCAAATTTGACGATATTGCTACGTGTTGATGGGACATGGGATACTCATGGAAGCTTTATATTGTGGCAGTGTAGATATATTCTGGCAGTGTAGATATATTGTGGCAGTGTATATATTGTGACATTATATTTCAGGCATTGAATTTTTGGCAGTGCATATATTGTGGCAGTGTATTTCAGACATTGAATTTTTGGAAGTACATATTGTGGCTAACATTATGGCAATGGATATATTGTGGCAGTGTAGATATATTGTGGCAGTGTATATATTGTGACAGTGTATTATATTATACTCCAAAAATTCAGAGTGGAAGTGTATATATTGTGACAGTATATTTGTCATTATATTGTGACAGTGTATATATTGTGACAGTATCTATTCTCTTAATCTCTGAGTAGTTTTTCTCTCATTTTACAACACGTTATCAGCATGAATTTGCTCAAAAATCTCAGAATCCTTGTTATTCTCAGAAGGTATATTTATTTAATTTTCTTCATAAACAAACTAAAATATTTTCTTAGAAACTATGAGAAGTATGCTCTGTGATTGCCCGAATTGTGGCAGTGTAGATATATTGTGACAGTGTATATATTGTGGCATTGTATTTCAGACATTGAATTTTTGACAGTGCATATATTGTGGCAGTGTATTTCAAACATTGAATTTTTGGAAGTACATATTGTGGCTAACATTATGGCAGTGTATATATTGTGGCAGTGTAGATATATTGTTGCAGTATTCTCGAAAACTATGCTTCTAAATTACTTCCTCCGTCCCGATTTATAGTGTACATTCACTATTCACAAGGTCAAAATTCATTCACTTTCTTTCTCTATTTTCATCAGCAATTTGATAAAATAAAGTATTATTGTCACTACTAGTTTTGTAGATTTTTGATGTAATATTTTAATATGTAATTTTTATTTTTTAACTTTATGCCATTTGTCATATAAAATGATTTGATAACAATTTCAATCAAACATCGTAAACCGGAAAAAGCATTATGAATTGGAATGGAGGGAGTAACATTGTTTATTAAACAAGTTTACATCTGTACAAGTTAACAGAGATTCAATAAACAAATTGCAAACATTACACCAACAAAATGTCCAATGGCTCAAATACAAAGAGAAAGATGAAAACATTACACAACACAAGAAATGCATATAACAATTGCACAGTTCTCAACTTTTGCAGCCATCTTCTAGAACTTCTTTAGTGCGAGGTCTTTTTTGTGGCGGTTCATTTTCAATGATGGCGCCACCATCTTCAGTTTCAAGGGTTGGAGATGGCATACAACCAGAGGGAGAAATGCTGGCCGGAGAGGATGAAAGAATCTGGTCAGAATCTATACACGAACCCATCTGGCTTGCATCGCTACAGCCAGCTTTCTGTTGCTCCTCAAAGATCTTCTGCAAATACCTTGCGTGTTCCTCGATTCTTGACTGAAGGGCTCTCTGTACCTGAAATCAGATGCAGAGTGAGTAACAGAAAAAAGAATGTAGACTGAAAATTCCATAAATACCCTTCTACTCTTAAGTACACGAGAAGATTCAATAGCTGGGAATGTGTGCTCTGCGACATCTGTGCTTCTGGAGTAGGGGGAGTACTATTACTAGGGCTGATATATGTAAACCTTTTAACCGTAACTTAGCACTACCTCCAGTTGCTCGTGTAGTTGTTTCTGAACTTCCATTTGCATTCTTAGAGCTTCCAGGACTTGAATGTTCCTGAATATCGAAAAAACACATTTGACACTTCGGGAACATGATGATAACCAGAGAGAGAGAGAGAGAGAGAGAGAGCATAAATGTCTACCCTTTCCCCTTTCCTTCACTTGCTTTACTGATAACAGTTGCTTTCTTATCTTCAGTGCTGGAAGTCTTTTTATCTGTGTGTGAGAGAAAGAGAGAATTCAATAAGGTAAGCTACACACACAGACACAAACTGGAGAAACTCTAAGAAAAAAAGATGGAGTCTTCTCTCTCTTTTTTTTAAAAGAAAAAAAACGTACAGTAGTAATTTATAATACAATCATATAGCTGTGTGGAAAAAGGTTAAGAAGTGCAGAAAATTTATCCTACTCTGAAAAATAGTGTAAATCCACCTTTCATATCTTACCTAAGCAATTCCTTTCTAGTTATAAATAATGAGCACTCAAGATGCACTTAGTGAATAACTTATAAAATAGGGAGCACTGAGCATATAGGTTTTTTTAATGAATAATGGCAATGCACTTAGTGAATAACTTATGATTGTTATGACAATGCACTTAGTGAGCAACTCATTTGTTCTTCATAATTAGTTGTACCGATTATATTAGTGAGCATAAATCTCTCCGCTGAATTAGTTGTACCAACTCTAGGCTGTAGAACTACTCTAAAAAGTTGATACAGAGTTCTTCATAATTACTTACAAAGCGACAATCTAAGATATGGGAAAGTGAAATTCGGCTCTATCGACACTTAATGAAAAAAATATCAGGAATGCGGTAGAAAGACATATTTAGAGGATTGTGAAACACATGTGAGAAAATATGCAATTAGTGCCTCAAAGGAAATTAAATGGGTCCCTTAATATTAGATTAACATTTCCTTAGTCCAAACAGAAGCTGTAACAAAAGATATCACCGAAAAATGTATTACCTTCACTTCTTTCAGGCATATACTTTGCAAGTCTGTATTTCTGCATAAAATATTTTAAATAATTGTTCGCATATATTTATTAACATTAAACATTAGATACGCAAGGGAGCCTTCTAATTTACCTGGAGGTGGCTTTTCACATGATAGATAGTCAAACCTTCAACATTCATTAGTTTCAAAACCGCCTTTGGGGTTGCCTCTACATATATTACAATATGAAATATAAGCACAGGCTGATTTGTTTTTTAAATGAGGTGAAAACTTTTGAACTTGGACAAGCAGTAGAAGAAAATTTCGGCAAAGAAACATAACTTACTTTCAGGCCCATCAAGTTTCTTGACAGCCTCCATAAAACAATCATGAAGCTCAGGCGTCCATCTCATCCGTTGTTTATGTGAGCCAACAGATTGCTGAGCTGATAGTTTTTCACTAGGCAATGTACAGGAGATGTTATTCTGGTTTGCAGTCATATCACTGCATTGCTGAATTAATGCTTGTGGTTCTTCATATATTTCCTAAGTCCAAAACATTTCATACCAATCCAAGGATGTAAGTACTACTACGTACTAATCAAGAACCACTAACGCTGCAATTGGCTATTTTAAGCTTGGCCTAAGGGGAAAGCCCTTGATAAACTGTAATTCCGCATTCGGAGCTCCACTATTGAGTTCCAAATAGCATAAACAATAAATAGGTAATCTGAATGGAGAAATTCAAAATTCATTGAGCTAAAATAAGCTTGTGAAATTAGAAGCTGTATAAGATTATTAGAAAATGGACCCCGGGTTCCCAGCTCAAAGTGTTCAGATTTCATAGCCAGTAAGCCTAAACTATCTAACCACTAAGCCCTTGTCTGGTTGAAGACTATGAGCTTTTTGGGTGGAAGGGGTGGGGAGTGGTAGAATGAAGGAGGGATTGCACTAGGTTGGAAGAGTTAGGGGAGGAAAGTAGAGAAGCTATACTCCTCCGAACTCCTCATATAACAATAATTATACTCCCTCGATCCTACTAAGTTTGGTACATGGGTGTTGAAATTCAAAATAAGGAAAAATGAAATTGTGTGGTTGGTAACTATATATAAAGCATTGATAAAATAAGGATCATTTTGAATCAAACAGAGGTGATAGATCTCAGAAAGGACGAAGAATCTGGGGCAAACAAAAATGGTAAAAAGGGCCATAGATAGTAAAACAAAGGTAGTATGAAATATTAAAAGATACGCTCCCTTTGTCCCACAAAAAGAATCGTGTTTCTCTACAAATTTTGCCCCATAAGTTAACAACAACAACAACAACAACAACCCAGTTGAATCCCACAAAGTAGGGTCTAGGGAGGGTGTGTGCGCGCAGACCTTGCCCCTACTCGAAAGTAGAGAGGTTGTTTCCGAAGTGACCCCCGGCTCACGTCAAAAGATGCCCCATAAATTAAAAGGGTTTAATTTCAAGAGAAGATGCTAACATTTTTTAATAACAAAAAATATGTCAAACTAGTTAAATTTACTTAAACCATCAATAAAAGAAAAACAGTCATATTTGATTATTCTCACAAGTTCTACTTCACAAAAGCTAAAATGTTGTACATTTGTGAAATAGGAGTCGTCTTATGGGACAGAAGGTGTAATATTTTTCTATAATCCTTCGTAATGATTAAGCACCACTCCTTCATTGAACCAAACAAAACATCTCTATAAACTCTTCTATGTTCCTCCCCTCCCTGCTCCACATTTCTCCTACCCTACCCTCTTCACTTTGAACCAAAGCCTAGAAGTTATGCCGTAGTATATGTGTATCAGGTAGGGAACAGAAATGATTTTTTTGTATAAAGCATCCTATCAATAAAGTCGGTGTTTGTATCTCGGAACATATAAAATTTTCTCAATACTTACATCAATCCGCGGGTTCTCTCCATCGCTACCAATCACAATGTGAAGTTCATCTGACAATAATTGCAACTCCATTTGCTCAGTAAGATGTAAACTATCAAGTCCACAGTGTTCATGATTAACACTTCCATCTGAACTGCCTCCGTGAATATTTTGGGAACTTCTCAAACTACCCTCGGAAGGGCCCCGACAACTTTGAACAAGAGATGAAGAGTCTCTTTGAACAAATGATGAAGAGTCTGAAGACAGATTGGTGAAATTCGGAAGCTTCCGAGGTGAAGGATCCGGAAGAAATGGCAAACTCTGTAGACGAAGGGTAGTTTCTAAACTAGATGAAGACGACAAGTGCAAACTAGTACAAAACAAAGAAGAACGAGAGAAACTGCTCTGAGGTTGCTGAATATGAGCATCAAAACTGAATGAACTACATTTAATGGGATGTGGAGAAACTTCCGGGGATTGTTCTGTAAATTTATGTAAAAATCAGGAAAGTTGTTAGGCTTAGAGCCTGATAAGCAACCATCTGCCAGCAAGTGTTTTAATGACTCACCTGATGATACATTGTGGGTATCAGACATGGGGGTACAATGAGGTTCAGAAACTTCATCTCCCGGTTTACAGTGTTTCCCAGGTAGAATCATGTGTTTCTTCTTCATCATCATCATCAAAATAAATGCATCAGAAAATGTCCTAACCACTCAAATTGAAAAACAATATCATGCATATATACAGGGGGAAACAGATTGCCGCTTTCCACCAGGGTGCAGCATATAGTTCTACATCCTTTATAGCCCAGAATACTACTTTCTTCCTCCCAATTTGTTGTGCTTTTTTAGGCTGGGCACAATGGTAAAGAAAGTTAAAACTGGAACCACATAAAGCTTGCTATAAATGGAAACAGGCACACAAATAATTTGCCTAAAGCGCCAACAACATGAAATTCGAAGATCTAATCAGGTGCAGCTGTAAATGATGCAAATAAATCACAAACCAATGAGTCCATTTTATATACCAGACACCCCCAATACCTGGGGAGATGGAGAAGATCCACTCCGACGGAGAAGAAACACAAGGTTTGGCAGCTCCTCCTCCGTCCAATTCATACCCTGGCGGAGCCAAATGTCTAGTTAGGAGCTTGAGACATTAATTAATGATTGGTATGTGGCAGCTTTGTGTCACATTGGCGAAGTCTTTTTCATACGGCTAGTGCTCTTGCTATTCTCACTCCCTCGCCAGCCCTAGACCTGGCAAAACGGTAGGTCAGATCGGGTTCAGGTTCGGTATATTTGCGTTCGGGTTATTTCGGGTTCGGGTCATTTCGGGTTCGGGTCTAAGAGTGTTTGTTCATTACCTAGAGTTATCGGGTTCGGGTTGACCCAACGGGTTAAGAGACGTATTTAAAAATTAAAATTTTTGCTATTTAGAGATCATGTGATCCGATCATTATTCAAAACAAAGAACGAAATCATAAAAGTTTGCAGTTCTATTTGCAACATACCAAAAGAGAATTGCAATATATCCAAAAAAAATCACCTTTTTGCAGCATATCAAAAAAATTGCAGTAGATGAAAAAAAATGAAGATTCTTTCAACATACCCAAAAATATATATGCATTATAAAAAATTTTGATTCTTGCGCCATACCAAAAAAAATGAAAAGAATTAAAACTTGAGTTACATGAGGAGCAATTGAAGACGATGAAAGAGGATTAAAAATTTCACTATTGATCTTGTGTCTTCTCACCATTTTGATTGAGTCGGCATCTAATATCGACGAACGGTGGAAGAACGATATATATATATATATATATATATATATATATATATATATATATATATATATATATATATATATATATATATATATATATATATATATATATATATATATATATATATATATGGGCTGGTTCAAGTGAGAATGCACCTTGGTGAAAGAAATAAGAATAAAATCTAGCCTTTGGATCGGATGCATCGTGCGGCTCAGATTGCATCCTGCACTCAGATTTTGAGATAGTGCATTTTCAAAGGATTTTGATGCATTTCGACATGATGCATTTTTAACCCATTTTGGTGCACCTAATTTTGATGCAATCTTGACCCTTAGATCTCA